TGCATTTTCACTATATAATCAATACAGCCCTGCCCTAACACCAGAACCCCTGACCCAGGGGCCATGGATTTCAGAATTTTGGAAAAGGCATCAATGCTTGACATAACCATGCACTTAGTTTGTTTAAATAATACCCAGGAGCAGAGAAGATTTTCAAAGAATTAATCCATTTTCACTATGCAATCAATAGAGTCCACGCCCCCCAAACACCAGAACCCCTGACCCAGGGGCATGAATTTCACAATTTTGGAAAAGGCATCATTGCCTGTCATAACCATGCACTTAGTTTGTTAATATAATATCCAGGAGCAGAGAAGAAGATTTTCAAAGAATTAATGCATTTTCACTATATAATCAATACAGCCCCGCCCTAACACCAGAACCCCTGACCCAGGGGCCATAAATTTCACAATTTTGGAAAAAGCATCAATGCCTGTCATAGTCATGCTCTTAGTTTGTTTAAATAATTCCCAGGAGCAGAGAAGAAGGTTTTCAAAGAATTAAATGTTTAAATAATACCCAGGAGCAGAGAAAAAGATTTTCAAAGAATTAATGCATTATCACTATATAATCAATAGAGCCCTGCCCTAGCACCAGAACCCATGACCCTGGGGCCATGAATTTCACAATTTAGGTAGAGGGCCCAATGCTAATTACAATCATGCCAACAGTTTGACTGCTTGATGTTCAGGAGTAAAGATAAGATTTTTAAAGATTGCATCAATTTTGGTGGTTAAAACCCCACCCCTGGGGCCCTAGAGGGGCAGGGACCATGAAATTCACAATTTTTGTTCCCCTTCACCCAAAAAAGCTATGTGCCAAAATTGGTTTAAATTGGTTGGGCGCTTCTAGAGAAGAAGTTGAAAATGTTAATGCACGACGGACGACGCACGACGACGGACAAAAACGGGTAGCAATAGGTCACCTGAGTGACTCAGGTGACCTAAAAACGACCATCCCCCTTTGCAATCAGCTGTTAAAACATTTTACCTTCTACTGGACAGTGGACGAATATTGAAAAAGATATGCCTGCGCCTTTGACCCATGATACTGGCGTCCATCCACGTGATCGTTCTGAAGATCCATCTTATCACGTGACTTCACAACTGGGTAAGATAAAGAAATTAAACAGACATGTATCCTACAGTGTATCCTACAGTGAGCAATTAAAGATGACGCATAATTTTGTGGGTATTTAATTAGGAAATGTTAATTTATCATACCCATGTTGTATTGTTCCATCGATAACACAGCTCCTGAGATAAGCAGCGGGGATTGGGGGTAGGGGGTCCTTTATACTGCACGGTGCTACATCTCACTGCATGACGTGAACGTCTTAAACTTTCATAAAATAATAAATGTAGACATTTTTATGGATTATAATTAAAATAAATAATAAATTTTAATTAAAATAAATTTATTATTATTATTTATATCACAGTCAAATTTATAAACCATCAGCAGCTGATTAGTCATTTAAATTTATATTATTTTGTATAATTTTAATTATTATAACTTTTCTGAACAAATTATACGTATAGAGGAGTTTCAAAGAATACGATATTTATTTTTATAAAATAATATACGGTTTAGTATGTTTAAAGTACAATCATAGACTAAAAGTTAGGTCAGTATATATACAACATGGATATATAATAAATACAGTTAACGTAAATTCTCATTTTAACTTTAAATTGATAATGTGTTTGATGCATATAAAATTTCTACTGATTTTAAGTATTGTACGTGGATATAGGGAAGGGCTTAAAAAGATTTTAAAAAAACTGAAATTGTATTATAAATATTATAGTAGACAAATGATAAAAGGATATAAGGTATGAATACATAGAGAACAATATTACGAATTATATGGGTTTTTTTTTTTTAAATTAAAGATATAGTACCGGTATATCATTTTAAAAAACTAATCCACACGCAATACGTTTTGTGCGAAATGGAGCGAGGCTTTCCGTATTGCGTCTGGTGTTACTGTTCTGAACGCTAACCTCAAAAGTATCAGTTATGATGGTAATACCATAGACAGCATTGAGAGCTGTAACTCCATGAACTTATTTGTCGGTTCACAGCTGTAACTCTGTTCGTATCAGGTGAGGCAGCCTTCATACTCAAAAAGTACCTTGATAACGCAGGAAATTTCACTTGTCACCGTTTTTTTAATCTCATTGAAAAAATCAAGTACTGTTCTTTTCCCTTTTAATTCGTGAGCTAAATACGTACGAAATACCTGACATTTTCCACGATTTTTGATACTTTAGGTGCTAGGAAAACGTCAGAACCGGCGCCATTATGAAAAATTCGCCGCCTCCAGCCGGAGGCATTCTAGGGTCCGATTTTCGATATATGCGATGCATGTCTAACTCACATCTTATCAACAGTACAGTGCTTCTAGTACTTAACCAATATCGCTTTTATTGTTCCTTTGTAATAAAAAGTGTCTATTGAAAACATTTTATCAAACTGTCGAGGTTTGTTTCGATTTCGTGGATTTTAAAATCTCGTGAGACCTGTATCGAAATGTGAAATGATATTTTCTTTTAAGCGATATTGTTTAGAACTAGAAGCATTGCGCTATTGATAAGTTGTGGTTTTGACATTTAATTCGATTTGCAAGTATCGGAAATTGAGTTCAGTTGGGGGGCGGCGATTTTCCACTTTTCATAATGGCGCCGGTTCCGACGTTTTCCTGGAACGTATAATTATCAAAATCGTGAAAAAACGCTTGGAAAACGTCAGATATTTCGGACTAGAGCTAAAAGAAATATAACGTTGTAAATCGTACCGTCACACCAAGGGTGTTCTTTGGGACGTTTCGTTCTCATCAACTTTTTCATCCATTTCGGACCCAGAAAAGCATTAACTAGATTTGGTTGGAGCAGTACCCGGTTCACTCGAGCTCGCGTCATCATGCGACTTTAAGAAACTCAAAACCCGCTACTGCCCAGAAAATCTTAGACCCTTTCATACATTTAAAATAATAACAATTTGCTACAATACCCAGTATGGACCGAGGTAGGCACCGTGATATTGGACAATTTCAGTACAGCACGCTGTCCATGCGCGCCGCCATTGTTACCGGGAGTGGAAAAACACTTTCATATCTAATACCCCATTTTAATGTTGATTTTTGCTGGAAAGCGAAAAATCGACTATCCATCATATTATCTTGCAGACTGTTTAAATAATTCAGATTGCTGGCTTGAAACTTCTCTGTTCACATCTGAAAAGGAAGTTTGTACCCGCCGAGATGCCATGTTAAAAAAAAAACTCGGGCTAGCGTGCGCACTAGCTATATAGAAACTAACTACTTAATAATACCCCTAATACCCCTTCAATAATCGAAAACGTTTACCCTATAGTGAAATCTCATTGGCTGTAGCCAACATAACCGAACCTAGTAACACGACTCTTCCATAATACTGTTTACATGTCGTACAATTATTTTTAGCAATACTACGTAACGAGAAAAATTTTATTATCCTCTGTGTACTGACTATCATCAATTTCACAGAGAAATTAACTCCCTTGTAAATACACATCCTCTATTGTTTAGTTCCAGTGACATCGATGTGATGTGATTTACTGTAAATACATAGAAAACTTGTATATAAGTATTTGATATTACACATAAACCACACACTCAACTACTGACAAATTAACATCACTCCATTAAATAAATAAATGCTCTATGTTCTTTGTAAACAACATTTTTACAATAAATATTCCACATGTATCCTAGTAAATTAGCACATATGAAATTCATATTACTATCAAATCACACAATTTCAAATGAATTACCGTTACTAGAAAAATATGATTATTGTCGAGTACACATGCACTAAATAATTTCATGCAAAAATCACAGCAAATTTTTAACTTTCAATATTACATTATAAATATCAACCTATCATGACATAAATTTTCTACACATATAGTCATCAGATCATTTATCTTTCATGCGAACTTTCTAACATGTCGGTAAAAATTATACCTTAACAGGTGAACATTGAACACCTTTGTAAACATATAATTGATAACAATTATGCATGTAAAAATTTCTTATGAAACAATACACAAATATATTTCATGTTAAACTTACCAACTTAGAAGTTTTCTCTCACGGGAAAACTGAAGACAAACATGATAATCAACACAGTGACTATTAAACACTGGTAAACAATTTCTAAAGTTGTAAATGCTCGTGCACCCGCGGAAATTGTAATATTGGAACCAAATCTGGAAAAAATCTAACAATCAAACCAAATCCGGAAAAATGTTTTGTATAATGTTAAATTTGCTATAACAATCCAGCCCCCTAATTGTCGAACAGTATGTGAAACAATTTCATTAACTATAATAGAATACAATCAAATGTACATGTCAAATGTAAGACTGCACAAAAACAAAATGTAACATGGTGCCAAGGATAAGCAACAAATATGGAAACGCAAGTACAAAAGTTTCTAACAATACATGAAATGATTTCACAATCAAGGTTTATCCATCTCCAGAACAAGACAAAGTTTATCTATTGGACGCGTCAAAATGTTTGTTGCGGTCTTTACTTTAACTTGTCGTACCAGTCCAAAACAATCAGGAATAGTCTCAAAAACCACTCCCATGGGCCATGAATTGAGCGTTTGAATCCACAACTAAGACCACATCACCGACTTTCAGGTTCCTATTAAACTCATACCACTTTTGACTTTCTTGTAGTAATGGTAAATATTCTTTCACCCATCGATTCCAAGAGATTGGCCTTATACTGAACTTGCCTCCAAGGACGTCTGCAGTAGTTGTCTGTTTTTGTAAATACATCAGGTGGTAAATTTGGATGTCTTCTCATCAACCAGAGATGATTTGGTGTCAATACCTCCAGGTCATCATAATGATCCGAACTCCTGGTTATAGGTCTGTCATTGAGAATCGACTCTGTTTCACACATGAGCGTACTGAGTCCTTCATCATCCAAAATCTGCTCTCTAAGAACACTGTTCATCACTTTTCTTACAGTCCTGATGATTCTCTCCAAAATACCTCATGATGGGAACCTGCTGGGGCATTGAATTCCCAATGTTTCTCTGTAACATTGCTTCGTGAATCGGTGATTCATTCCAGTCTTTAATTGTAATTCGCAACTCACGATCTGCTCCAACAAAGTCGGTCCAAATGTCCAACCGGATTTTCTTCACTTGACCTCTACGTGCAATGAAACGACGTAAGGAACTGATGTACGAATCTGTAGTAAAAGAGGAAGCAACTTCTAAATGCAAAGCACGACTGGCAAGACAAGTGAATATAACACCATAACGTTTGACGTGGCTTCTCTTCAACTTCACCTCTAAAGGGCCAAAATAATCCACACCAACTCTAGTGAATGGCGGTTCATCAGGTACCAAGCGATCCTCTGGTAATTGAACCATTTTCTGCTCTCCAACTTTGGATCTTTGGCGACGACATACTACACATTTCGAAGTCAACTTCCTGATAGAGGAAGGTGCATGTATTAACCACTACTTCTGTCTTAACATAGAAAACATATGATTTCTACCACTGTTTCAGTTCATAATGTATCTGTCTTGATATCAAAGTTAACACATGATGATCCTTAGTTAAGATGATTGGATGTTTGGTTTCTAAGGGCATATTGGCTCTGTGCAACCGACCTCCAACGCGAATGAGTCCATCATCTAAAATAGGGTCAAGTTTTCTGATGTTGCTGCCTAGCTTCACATGATTTCCTTTTATCAGCTGGTCCATTTCTGGTACAAATAACTTTCTTTGGATGAATTTTAGAATGGCAATTTCAGCTTCTTGCAAATCTTGTGCTCATAAACGTGTCTCAGTGGCTAGAGATTCTGGCGAGTTGTCACAGAACAGTTCATCACGAACAGTTTTTATCTTGTGTTGAATTCTGAAAAACAGTTTCTTCTTTATTTTGAGAATCCATGCAACACTTTTCTTCAACTTGTACCAAGATGAATGGTAGTTGATGAATCTTTCAACACTATCATCATCCAAACTTGATTCACTTTTAATAACAGCCCTCACAGTAACCTTTTTGACCTCTGGATCATCATCATCAAGGATCTCGTCAGAAAGTTCTATTGGTGTTTCAAGCAAATTTTCTTCTTTTGTCAACAAAATTTCTGGTGCCATAATCCAATGTTTCCCTCGAAGTATATCATTTGCAGACAGGCCTCTTGATGCAAGATCAGCAGGGTTTAATTTGGTATTGATGTGTAGCCATTCATCCGGTATGGAGCCTTCATGAATTACTGCGAAGTCTGTTTGCAACAAAATTGTGAAATCTAGTTGCGGTGTTTCTTATGTACCGTATGACTGCCATGCTGTCCGTCCAAATCACAGTTTCGTCTATCAACACATCTAACTCAGACTTCAACATCTTATAAGTGCGAACTGCAACGGTATCAACGGTTCATTCTAGTCGAGGAATAGTTATTTGTTTCAAAGGGGCAACACGAGACTTGCCAATAATGAATGAGCAATGCACTGCACCATCTGCACTGAGTTCTCTAGTCTCAAATACGACACAGTTCCATATCCATGTTCACTGGCATCTGCAAAATGATGTAGCTGTGTAGATTTTATTTCTCCAAATTCCACAGGTTTAAAAACATCTTTTCACTTTAAAGTCAGAGAGTTTCTCAAGATCTGGTATCCATTCATTCCATTGTAGTGCGAGATGTTCTGGTATCCTTTCATTCCATCCTAGCTGAAGTTTACAGAGTTCTTGAAGTAAACACTTAGCTTTTAGGGTGAATGGGGCCAAAAATCCTAGGGGATCAAATACACTGCTCAACAGGGATAAGATACCTCTCCTCGTCAAGGGTTGGTCTTTAATGTCCATCTTGAAATAGAAAATATCATTCTCTACACACCACTGAATCCCAAGAGCTCGATCAATGGGAAGGGTGTCATTGTTCAAATCCAAGTCTTTAACTTCCTTACTCTCTCAAAAAATGGAATGCAGTTCATTACTTCTCTGCTATTGCTAATCCATTTAGAAATATGAAATCCTCCTTTCATTAGAAGATTTTGTAAGTGAAACAAAAGAGAAGTTGCATTAGACATAGTTTTCACTGATTTTAAACAGTTATCCACATAAAAGTTTTTGAGAACAGTGTTAATGACTTCAGTGTTGTAAAGTCCTCTGTAATCATGTGCTGTTTTCCTCAAAGTATAGTTTGCACAACTTGGTGATCATGTCGCACCAAATAAGTGTACTATCATTTGATTTTCAATGACATGTTTACTCGGATTTCCGTCTTCCCACCAAAGAAATCTAAGGAAACTTGCATCCTGGTCTGGAACTCTAACTTGATAAAACATGCCGTCAATGTCTTCCATAATCACAATTTCACCCTGTCTGAATCTAAGGAGTGTCCCAATCAGAGTATTTGTCAGATTCGGTCCTTGTAACAAGTGATCATTCAATGAAATTCCCTGGAATCGAGCTGCACAATCGAATACAACTCTCAGCTTCCTTTTCTTAGGATGGTATACTCCGTGATGAGGTAAGTACCACACTCGTCCATCTGCCTGATTAAGTTTCTCATCTGGCACTTTCACAGCATATCCTTCATCAAGAATCTTTTTCATGAACGCACAGTACTCTTCATGAAAATTTTCATCACGACTAAATCGTTTCTAAAGTGACAGCAGTCTCTGTTCAACTTGTTTCCTATTATGAGGTAAACACATATTTTCTGACTTAAACGGCAGGCTAATTATGTAATGTCAATCTTCCAAATGAATCGAGTTTGACACACATGCTACGAATCTTCTATCCTCCTTTGAGGGCTCACACTTATCACATTAGTCCTTTCATTAAAATCATGATTGAACTGATCACGAATCTGTTCCTCCAAGTTGATCATGAGTTTCGCATCAACAGGATTAACAGATACAAATTCATTACTCGGAATTCCGATGAATTTCCAGTGGTCCATTTATCACCCAGCCTAGCAAAGCTTTTACGGCAAACGGTCCATTATCAATACTGGGTATTACATCCCAAGGTTCCATTGTCTTCGGCACATTGATTCCTATTAGAAGTCCAACATCTCCATCAATAAGAGGAACTTCAATATTACTGAGATATGGATAGTTCTTAAGATCCTCTGGTGAAATCGCATCTGTCCTTGACTAAGATAAAACAGGTTGTGTAAATAAAATAAATATTTTAACATAGATGATAAAACATTATGGAAGAATATATACATTTCAAAAATTCTCAATATGCATGACAAAAAGATTGCAGAATTCAACTACAAGCTGCTTAATTGTCTGTTGAATACTAATGCAAGTGTAAGTAAATGGAATAAAGATGTATCGCCAATGTGTGAGCTATGCAATGTACTAGAAGATAGTGAACATCTTCTATTTTCCTGTGCAATTACTAATTTTTTATGGCGAAAAACTAGTATATTTTTAAAATTTAATGTTTCATGGAAACGTATTTTGTTGGGATTTTACTGTGAATTATCAGAAAAAACATGTATTTTGAATAATCTAATTTCATTTCTTTGTTTTACTATATATAAGTATAAAATGAAGAGTCGATTCAATAATGAAAGAATGTCAGAAGATAAATTGAAATCTTATGTTAAAAACTGTCTCATTTTACAAAACTCTATTGTGAGAAAATGTGGCAAAATAGGAAATAACTTATATAGTGATGTAGCAAATTGTTTGTAGAAAAAAAAAGAAAAATCTTATGTTACGCTAATTATGAGTAGATAATTGTATATCCAACACATGAGGAAAACAGTCCTCATGTGTGGTAGCTAGGGGTCCTCATTATGGACAGTGCTGGTGTTGAATAAGACCCCTTTAGCTACCCGGATTCAATACTTTTTTTTTTCTCTATATATATACATTGTATATCTTTTACATCAATTTATACGTGTTTTAAAAAAATTTGCTGAAAAAAAAAACACTTGATTAAAGAAAATGCTGTAAAAGTAGTAGAATGTTTATTAGACAGGTATGATGCATATTTTTTTTTCTCTCTCTCTGCAGAAGTATTATAATTCTGATATATCATTAAAATACTAATTGTAATGTATAATATAATCTATGCCCAATATGTTGTATGTTGCATATGTTTTTAATAAAAAAAAATAAAAATAAAAAAAAGGTTGTGTGTAGACTGGCGGAAGTTCCAACACATTCATACCACTGATGTCACAAATTTCTAATTCAGAAATGACATAACAAGTCTTTGTATGCTGCTGTCCCATTGTTGTGAGGTTAAGGTTCATTTTCTTTCCTTCCACTTTTAACGATCTAGCAATGTTCTCCAAACAGAATGTTGCATTACTTCAGGAGTCAAGGAAAGCATAAGTTTCTACGTATTTGTCATTGAACTTTGACTTGACTCGACAGGTACAATTGGTAGTGCATGCTTACCAGCCCCTATATGAACAGAAGATGACGTATCTGACAACGGAGTTTCAATATCTTTATATTCTCTAGAAGCAGTGTTTGATTCTTCATTCTGTCTTGGATCAACGTGAAGAATGGATGGATGAGACTTGTTACAGTGAGCACATGACATCTTTTGTCGACAACTAGTTTTCAAATGTCCAGATTTTAGGCAAGCAAAACACAGTCCACTTGTTTTCAAGAATGCATATCTGTCTCTAAGAGGTAAGATAGTAATACTCAAACACATATCCAATGAATGAGCTCCCTTACAGAATATACAATGTTTTAAAAATGTTTTCATCTGCGTAGCACTGTTATTATATTCAGATCTTGAGTCAGTTTTCACAGTAAAATTTTTATGCGTTTCTGATTTCTTGTGGTCTTGTAAGCGTTTGTTGGCTGAACTTAGAGAAATCATCATTTCTCTTCCATACATGGGATCAGCTGCTTTTTTGGCTTCCTTTCGAACAAAGTCAACGAGATGGTGAAATTTCACAGATAGTTTCTTTTCTTTCAATTCATACACACAATTGCGCCATTTATCATGAAGGTAAAATGGTAATTTTTTGACCAACAGCTTCAAATTTTCTGAATATTCCAGCACACGACCCGCATCAATGTTTTCGACTGAATATTGACACTCTCATAGGAATATAGCGAACTGATCTAAAGCTTTTGCACTGTCTTGTTTCACTAGAGCCCAGTCGAGAGCTTTCTTTACACATGCTTGCGCTATAATATCAGGGTCTTCATAACGATCCTTTCACTCTTCCAGTGCTGCTTTGTAGCCACGTTCAGCATCCAAATATGAATAACCAGTCACAATCTTTTGCGCTTCACCGACAGTAAACTGTAATAAAAAGTTCAAACGTTCTTCATATGATTCAGTGTTGGAACAAATTCTAGCATTGAATTGTCTCAAAAATTTTGTGTAGTTCATAGGGTTTCCATCAAACTTTTGTTTGTTAGC